GCCAGCATTTGTTTGGAGATTTTTTGATAAAGGCCATTCTCACTGGGGTTAAGTGATATCTCATTGTGGTTTTGATTTGCATTTCCTTGATGATTAGAGATGTCGAGCATTTTTCCATGTTTGTTGGCCATTCTTCTGTCTTCTTTTTAAAAGCTTTGTTCTTGTCCTTTGCCCAAATTTTGATAGGGTTGTTTGATTTTTTTCTTGCTGATTTCCTGAGATCTAAATTGATTCTAGTTATCACCCTTTTATTGGATGTATAGTACGAAAATTTTCTCCCATTCTGTAGGTTGTCTGTTTGCTCCCATGACAGTTTTTTTGGTTGTGAAGAAGCTTTTTGATTTGATCAGGTCCCATTTATTTATTTATTTACTTATTTATTTTGTTGCTGTGATTGCCTTTGGGGGTCTTCTTCACAGATTCTTTCCCTAAGCCAATGTCTGGAAGAGTATTTTCAACGTTTTCCTCTAGAATTCTAATAGTTTCACACCTTAGTTTTAAGTCTTTTATACAGCATATGTTGATTTTTGTGAGAGGTGAAAGGTGCCGACCCAGTTTCAGTCTTCTACATGTAGCAATCCAGTTTTCCCATCACCATTTGTTGAATAAGGATTCTTTTCCCCAGTGTATGTTTTTGTCTGCTTTGTCAAAGATTAGATGGCTATATGAGGATGGTTTTCTATCTGGGTTCTCAGTTCTGTTCCACTGGTCAATTTTCCTGTTCTTGTGTCAGTGAAAACCTGTTTTAATTATTATAGCCTTGTAGTATAGTTTGAAGTTTGGTAAATTAATACCTCCCATTTTCTTTTTATTGTCTAATATTGCTTTTGCTATATAGGGTCTTCTCTGGTTCCATACAAAGCATAAATTTATTTTTTCTATATCTGTGAAAAACGATGTTGGTATTTTAATAGGGATTGCATTGATTCTGCAGATCACTTTGGGTAGTGTAGACATTTTAACAGTGTTGATTCTGCCAACCCATGGACATGGTATGGCTTTCCACCTGTTTACATCCTCTGCTATTTCTTTCCTTAGTGTTTCATAGTTCTCTCTATAGAGGTCTTTTACCTCCTTAGTTAAATATTCCTAGGTACTTTATTTTCTTTGTTGCTATTGTGAAGGGAATTGAGTCTTTGATTTGGTTTGCAGTTTGATCTGATATTGGCATATATGAATGCCTTTGATTTGTGTGTATTGATTTTGTATCTTGAGACTTTACTGAGTTCATTTGTCAATTTCAGGAGTTACTTGGTTGAATCCTTGGAGTTTTCTAGATATAATATCATGTCATCAGCAAAGAGTGAGTGTTTGATCTCTTATGCTCCCATGTGGATGCCCTTAATTCAGCTCTCTTGTCTGATTGCTATAGCAAGGACTTCTAGCACTATGTTGAATACAAGTGGATATGATAGGCAACCTTGCCTGGTTCCAGTCCAAAGTGGGAATGCTTTCAATTTTTCACCATTCAGTATGATGTTAGCTGTGGGTTTGTCATATATGGCTTATATCACTTTTAGGTAAGCCCCATTTATGCCTATTTTGTTAAACATTCTTATCATAAAAGGTTGTTGAATTTTCTTGAATGCTTTTTCTTCGTCTTTTGAGAGGATAATATGGTGTTTGTTTTTGCTTCTGTTTAGGTGGTGAATTACATTTATAGATTTGCGTATGTTAAACCATTCCTGCATCCCTGGAATGAAGCCCACTTGGTCATGATGGATTATTGTCTTGATAAGCACCTGGATATGGTTAGCTAGGGTTTTGTGGAGAAATTTTGCATCTATATTCATAAGGGTTATTGGCCTGTGTTTTCTTTTTTTGTTGCATCCCTTCCTGGTTTTCGTATCAGGGATATGTTGGCTTCATAAAATATGTCCATGAGGATTTCATCCTTCTCGATGTTGTGAAATAATTTCTGCAGGATAGGCACCAGTTCTTTTTGTAGGTGTGGTAAAATTCGAGTGTGAAACCATCTGGTCCAGGACTTTTCTTTTTAGGAAGGTTTTTTATTGCTGTTTCAATTTCAGTACTTGATATTGGTGCTTTCAAGAATTCTATTTCTTCCTGGTTGAGCCTAGAGAGGCTGTGTGTTTCTAAGAATTTGTCCATTTCCTCCACATTTTCCAGATTGTGTGCATGAAGATTTTTGTAGTATTCATAAATTATGTCTTATATCTCCTTGGCATCAGTTGTAATTTCTCCTTTATTTTTCCCGATGGAGCTTATTACAGATTTTTCTTTTCTGCTTTTCGTTAGCCTAGCCAAAGGCATGTCAATTTTATTTTTTCAAAGAACCAACTTTTTGTTTTATTAATCTTCCTTATAGTTTTCCTGTTGTCAATTTCACTTAATTTCTGATTTGATCTTATTGATTTAACTTCTTCTGTTGCTTTTGTGGTTAGTCTGTTCTTTTTGCAGCTCTTTGAGTCAGTTCATTAAGTTGTCTATTTGTGATCTTTCTCATTTGGGGATATAGACATTTATGGAAATAAACTTTCCTCCCAGGACTCCTTTAGCTGTGTCTCAAAGATTTTCATAATGTATGTCTCCTTTGTCATTTAGTTCAAAGAACCTTTTGATTTCCATCTTCATTTCCTTGTTTATGATGTAATCATTCACCACAGGTTGTTTAATTTCCAGGACTTTGTTTAGAAATGAAAGTTTCTATTAGGGTTGATTTCTACTTCTTATTTCACTGTGACTTGACAAGATACATGGTATAATTTCTATTTTTTTAACAGTTTTGAGACATGCTTTGTGTCCTAAAATATGGTCAATCTTAGGGAATGTACCATGAGCTGATGAGAAGAACTTATATTCGGTGGTTTTTTTGGGTTGAATGTCAAGTAAATGACATGCTCATTTGTTCTAGAATTCTGTTTAAGTCCATTATTTCTTTGTTAATTTTCTGTTGGAGGATCTGTCCTGTGCTGCCAGCAGAGTGTCCAGGTCTCTGGCTATTATGGTGTTGCTGTTTATCAATTACCTTTTTATTAGCACCAATATAAAATTGAAATCTTATTCATAGTTAAAACCCAATATTTCTGTTGCATGCCAATTTTTTATATTAACTTTCACAAGGGACAAAAGGAGAGGTAAGGTTAATGAAAATTCTGTGCAATCTAACCATAGTAATATATTTTCCAATTTACTTTAAGGGAAGATGATAGTTCCAGTAAGAGAGGGAAGAGAGTAAGAGAAGAAGGATAAGTAAGTAACAGCATGACTAGTAGTAAAATAGTGATAATTACTAATAATATCTGTTGCTACTAACTTGCATAATGATTTCAATTCAAGTCAATACTTATGAAATGCATTCTCTATTATTATATAAAGTAATTCTTGCCACAAACTGCTTACTTTTCCATTAAATATTAAGTTTGAGACAATATCTGTATATTTTAAAATACCAAGACATTCAGCAAAACATATCAATCATTTAAAAAATACATATAGCTGTTGACTTCTCAGTATACTTATATGAAACTATATAAACCTAAAATAAATCAAGATGGGCAGATTCAATATTTGTGGCAGATATTCATAAGATAAATACTCAAAGTAATGCACATATCTTACATTAAAAAAGATAAGACTTATACTATATGCATACCACATTACTACAATAATTTTACAAAAGAATAATTATCCATAATGCAAGTTTTTTTGGAAACTAAGGGTCAAATGATGAAGAGAACAAGATCACAATTTTTTCTATGATTATAATTTATATAAAATAAGATTAAAATTTTCTACACATATGACAAATAAATGCATCAAGCTATATACACAGAATAAAAATCATAATGCAAGCACACAAACTTTAAATTGGAAATATCTCTGGGCAGAGAGTATGGGTGAAACTCAATATATTTTTTATAAGATTTTCACACTATTACAAAATATTTACATTGATCTTGTGTTATTTTATGAAGATGCTACAGAATGAGATCAGTAATGATTCTATAGAGATGTATTACATCTATACTGAATGGATGAAGAAGAGTTTTTTAGGCAGTGAGACAGGGAGACAAAACATTGAGCAGAAGTTACACAAAATGTAGCTTCAGGTAACTTGAATCACACAGAATACCTGGATGCCCCATGTATTACATGGAATAGTATTAATAGTATAGGATTCTCATATTAAAACTAACGTTATTTGGTTAAAACTATATTTTTCAAAGTTGTGAATTTTTTTTTGTAAATAACAGTTTTAATCAGAAGCTTCACCCCAAGGATTAACATACAAAAGTATACTTGTTATGTTGGAAGGAATTTATCATTATTTTATACAAAGAAAGAAAGAATGATTTAATTTAATATGAAAGGAACAAAAACAATAAAAAAGACTATATGATTTTTATGTGATATCCAAGAAACATTTGGTTTTATATTTCTTTTTTTTTATTTTCTTCTTCTTCTTTTTTTTTGGTAGGTTTGTTTGGTGGGAGAATATATTGAGAAATTTAGAATTGTTCCTGTATAGAATGTATTACAATTTAAAAATTGGCACAGAATTGAAATCACAAGTCAGAGTAATACCCAATCAATTCCAAGTAAGCACACATTCACCCGGAGTCTCATAAAGTGTGATGGAGCTACTTAAGGGAGGGACCAGATGTCTATGACAGAAAGGCCTGGTGGTTCTCTCCATGGTGGCAAAGCTGCTCTCTATGGGACACAGTCAGGGGACAATGATAGTCCCTCCCAGGCAGTTATAAATAGCACTTCAAATTAGTAGTGTAATTTCAGGATAAAAATTGCCTCATACCTGAATAATGACTAAAGAATTGTGATCTTTCAGCTATGTAACTATATGCCATAAAATTCTGTATTATAAATAAAATTCTTGGGGCTAGTTCACTAAAATTCTAAACCACAATATTATAATCATGAATAGCAGTAATTCTTAACCTTCAGCTATTTAGTGTGTATGCATTTGTGTCTGTGTGTGTGTGTGTTTTAAGGGAAAAGGCTTGGAAACTCTGACAAACTTTAAGTGAGGTATAAGAGATTATAGAACTAAAGAAATACAGATATAGAATCATCTCAACTTTTAGTAAGATTTCCCACTTGTCATAATCAGAGAATGATTCTAATGACTACAAACTAAAAAAATTCTACAGAAAACTGCTTGAAATGAACAATAGTGATTTAAAACTACAACCATATATAACTGAAGCCCAGTGAAGCCCCTCTAATAATCTATATTAGTAACTATAATAATACAAAAGAAGAGTCTGGGTAAAATACTTTCTAACATTATCTCTCCTAACTACATTGTAATATCTCTACTTCATTTGTTCTTCCCATACACATACATACATGCATACACATATTTGCACAAATATCCATAATAGGAGCCATCTATCTCATAATACGCATTTCTTTCCAGATAAACTTAGTGATTACCTTATTAAAAAATAGTCTAATAATTCTTAATAATACTTGGTTTTCTCTTCTTAGATTTTTTTTTAAATTTTTATTTTTAAGATTTCTTTTTTTTATTTTTATTTTTTCAGCATATTATGGGGGTACAAATGTTAAGGTTAAGTATATTGCCCTTGCCCCCCTTCCCACCTCGAGTCAGAGCTTCAAGCGTGTCCATCCCCCAGTTGGTGCACATTGCACTCATTATGTATGTATATACCCACCCCCTAAGCCCCCTGCCCAACACCCTATAAATGTTATTCCTATATGTCTACTCCCGTGTGGATCAGTTAATACCAATTTGCTGGTGAGTACATGTAGTGCTTATTTTTCCATTTTTGGAATACTTCTCTTAGTAGAATGGGTTCCAGCTCTAGCCAGGAAAATGCAAGAGGTGCTATATCACCATTGTTTCTTATAGCTGACTAGTACTCCAGGGTATACATATACCACATTTTATTAATTTACTCATGTATTGATGGGCACTTCAGTTGTTTCCACATCTTTGCAATTGTGAATTGTGCTGCTATAAACATTCAAGTACAGGTGTCTTTTTCATAAAGTGACTTTTGTTCTTTTGGGTAGATGCCCAGTAATTGGATTGCTGGATGATATGGTAGATCCACTTGTATTGCTTTAAGGTATCTCCATATTGCTTTCCACAGATAATCTTTTCAAATGTGTTTCTTCTACTGATAACCTGTTTGTGGCAGAACACATTCTTTCTTCACAGGAGATGGAAGACTTTGTCCAGAGCTCTGGAGAAAATGGCGTTGTGGTGTTTTCTCTGGGGTCAGTGATCAGTAACATGACAGAAGAAAGGGCCAGTGTGATCGCTTCAGCCCTTGCCCAGATCCCACAAAAGGTTAGATAAAGCACCTAATGGTGGACAGCTACTGAATCCCTCTGTTCAACATTGTAAAGAGTACAGCTGCAGAAATTTTCTGTCCAAAAGGTTAACTATTTTAGCATAGCTCTATTTACCTCAGGTATCAGCTTAAAAACTAAAAGTATAAATGGAAAGTGTTACAATAGTAAAGAGGTGGATTTCCACTTATGGTAACTTTGACATTAACAGTGCGATCATACCAAATATACCGCAGGGGTGCACTGAAGTTTTGGTATTATCATGGGATTGAAAGCACGTACACAGAAATCTCCAAATTGTGCCCTGTCATTGGATGCTATTGCTATCAGATTTCCCGAGGACATCATATACACCACACATATTATCAGTAAGGAGTTGAATTGTTGAGTGTCTGCACGAGCACAATCCCAATAAGCAGGTATTGAAAATAGTCTACATGCATTAAGTTTAGGCTTCCCATGTGAGCTGACCTTTTGTATGGCCTATCAATTTGGAATAAAACTCATTGATCTGCTGTTCAGGGTGCTATTCAGACAAAGGATGATTGGGTTGAGAAATGCCTATCACAGGTACCCACCTAGCCAAGTATATTTAGAGAAAGAGACAAACTTCTTACCTTTCTGGACTGGGCTCTGATCTAATGAAAAGATGCAGATGGGATCCTGCCCTTAGGGCAGAACCTATGCATTCTATAATGCAGCCCCACAGAGATCCTGATCTCACCACTAGATTAACAGCTCCTTCTGTTGAAGGAGACTGGAATAAAGGAAGGAGTCAATCAGAATGAAGCCAGGAATGGGAGAGGTCAAGACCGCCTCCATAAAATAGAATAAGAACTTATTTTCTAATGTATAGAATACGCTGGCAGTCTATGAGTATTTGGGAATTACTTTTAGTTTTCTATCTTAAACTTTTCTTAATGATCTTTGCTACTTTCTGCTAAAAACTCTAAATTATTCTCACACTCTCATAGCAAGTAGAAGGTAAAGACATCTAAATTAAACTCAAGTTTATAAGGATTACCTAGGAATTCTGCAATCAGTAGCTTATTTTGGTACTGGGCATGGACATGGCTTGGTTATAGCAGACCTTAAGAATCACTGCTGTAGCCTATCATCTAAGTGTTAATGATCTATTATGCAAAATTTAACAAAATACAATTTCAGACTTTTTCAACGGCTGTGCTCTTATTCATAAATTGCCCACTGTCTCTACTTTTCTACATTGAAAGAATTTTCAAAACTAGAAACAGTGGTAATACTCTGAGTTTTTGTCAAAAATTGCCACTGAAACTTTTTCTTGGAAGAAGTGCTTAAAACTTCTAAGTTTAGTGATGCAAACTCTCAATGCAGCATTGGTAACTTTCTCACAAGCAGCTCATCTTATAGTTTTTATTGTAAGTCAAATAATGTCAAACTGGAGAGAAAGTAATTATAAAACAAATATTATAAATGAACTTCTACTCATATCCCTCAAATGCTTGAAGTGATAGTTACAACAGTTACCATGATTTAATTATTACACACTGCATTCCTGTATGAAGACATCACATGTACCTCATACATACAGACAACTAGTATGTGTCCAAGATAATTAAAAATAAAACATGTAAAAGAAGCAATAAAAAGAATATTATTAATTTTAGAAGATGACACCTAGTATAAAACACATAATAAAATGAAAAGACTGATGTAATGACTGATGCACATTTTTTATATTAGAATAATATTTACTGTCCTTTTCTTAAATACTTGAATTTGTGGTTAAAAATATCATTTGTTTACATTACTTAGAATTCTTATATATAAAATTGATTATAACACTATGCGTTTGAAATCTGGTTATGCTATTTACCTCAGAAATTTAGTACTTCTCATTACTTAACAACCTTGTTCTCATTTCTTCATCTTTTGTATGGAGGGGATTTAACTAGATGGTTGATATCCCCTTTAGAGTTTTACCGTGCCATAACTTTGGAGTTCCACCCATGGAGCAAGGTATTTTCTTACCGTACAGGTTCTATGGAGATTTGATGGCAAGAAACCAGACACCTTAGGACCCAATACTCGGCTGTACAAGTGGTTGCCCCAGAATGACCTTCTTGGTAAGATACTGGAGAAAAAATACTGAATATATGACTAATAGCCAACTAGAGTAACAGTAAGTGAACAGCAACTAACATAGTTAATATTGATTTTTGAAATCTCAAATATAAATCCTAGCTATTTCATATTGATTTTCTATCTTTAGGGGGAAAGAATAAAGTGTATCAGTTGACATTTGCTACATACACCCGTATTATTGATGTCCATAAAAAAGTATTAATATATTTATTTCATGAGTAATTGCCTCACATAAAAGTTGGCAATAGCTTCCTGGGTTGTCTGTCTCCTATTTCTAGGATTTTACCCCATCCTTTTCCCTACAGTAGGTTTATTTCACATGACACTGAAAAATAACAGGTCTTTTTCTATTACCAGTGACTGCATTTTCTATGGGAATAAATCCTGGTCTTTACTACACTGTGTTGACACCTCCACAGGGAAGTGTGGCCTGTCCTTCCTCTGACCCCAGCCCTGCTCCCAGCACTCTCCCTGTGCCCTGGGCACCTTGCGTGTCAGACTCCCTGACTTCATGTTGCTTTCAGAGGACATGTTCTCACATGACTGACCTTTTTTTTTCCCTTTTTATATTATCTGTACATTTTCTTTATCCAGAATGCGCTTTTTCATTTGCCCGCTTGGAAATCTTGTATTCATTGTTCCATTCCCAAGTCACACACCATTTCTTCCATGCAGGCTTCACTTTCCTGTCCATAAAAAGCAGGATCTTCTTCCTCTGAAATCTAACAGCAATTTCAGGGAAGTGGGTATCCTAATCTGCTATCCAGAAACATTGCCCCTCTCATTGTCCTGTATTGTGCATTTTTCATTTTATTCCTAAGACTTGTATTGAATAATTTTGCTGAAATTTCACCCAATTCTAGGTCATCCAAAAACCAAGGCTTTCATAGCTCATGGTGGAGCCAATGGCGTCTATGAGGCCATCTACCACGGGGTCCCCATGGTGGGCATCCCTTTGTTTGCGGATCAACCAGACAACATTGCTCACATGAAGGCCAAGGGAGCAGCTGTTAGAGTGGACTTCAGCACAATGTCAAGGACAGATTTGCTCAGTGCTTTGAAGACAGTCATTAACGATCCTTCGTGAGTATAATAATTCTTTAATAAGTGGTATTTATAGATATGTTCTCTTGTCCAGAAGGAAGATGAGATTCATCCCTTTATTAGTTGATTAACTTTGAAAGAATTTAATTGTTTAAGTAATATGAAATCTTCTTTTATTTTCCACCAGTTATTTCACAGTTGCATTGAACTCTATAAATTTAAGGAGCAACCAATTAGTGCAAAAATGTTCTACACAAAATAACTTCAGTTATAAAAATAAGTATAAAAAGGATGACTGTTAAACGGTAAGACAGAATTCACACTTAAAAGCAGTGATAAGGCCGGGTGTGGTGGCTCACGCCTGTAATCCTAGCACTTTGGGAGGCCGAGGCGGGCAGATTGCTCAAGGTCAGGAGTTCGAAACCAGCCTGAGCGAGACCCCGTCTCTACCAAAAATAGAAATAAATTAATTGACCAATTAAAAATATATATACAAAAAAAATTAGCCGGGCATGGTGGCACATGCCTGTAGTCCCAGCTACTCGGGAGGGTGAGGCAGTAGGATCGCTGAGCCCCAGAGATTGAGGTTGCTGTGAGCCAGGCTGACGCCACGGCACTCACTCTAGCCTGGGCAACAAAGTGAGACTCTGTCTCAAAAAAAAAAAAAAAAAGCAGTGATAAACTTAGAAATATAATAAAATATTTTAATTCAATTGCTAAAATTTCTGAATGTATTACTTTTTCTTACTCAAAAATTTACTTTTATATTATCATTATTTTAATAGATTTGATAATGAGATATAATTTACAATGCATAAAGATCACCTATTTTAAGTGTAAAATTTTAATATTTTTACTATGTTTATAGAATTTTGAAGCCATGACCATAATATAATTTTTTATCAACCCAAAATAAACTTCATAAGGCATAGATGTCTTTTCCCATAAGTCTCTAACCCTAGGGAAATACCAATTTTTTTCTCTATGGATTACCCTCTCTAGAAATCCCCCATAAAGGGAATAATACAATTTGTAATGTTTTGTACATAGCTTTTTCCATTAGGCTTAATTTTTTTTAGTTTTATCCATGTAGCTGCATGTATCATTATTTTGTTCACTTTTATTTTTGTATAATGATATACTTTAGTATATCAATATATCATAATTAATCTATCCATTTATCAGCTTATGGAGATTTTGTTTGCAATTATGAACATTGTTATACATGATTTTTTATCAAAATATGTTTTTATATTATAAAAGTAGATTTTAGAAGAATTGCTTGGCTATATGGGAATTTTTGTTTATGGAAAATTTCCGAATTGTTCTCCAACATACATGCACCATTTTTCATTACTACCAGCCAGATAGGAGGGTTTCATTTCCTTCATACTGTTCCCAATACTTATCATCTGTCTTTATTACTGACATTGTATGGGTGAAAAGTACTGTCTCATTAGTCTTGATTTGTATTTCTCTTATGGCTAAAAATACTGAGCATCTTTTCAAGTGCTTACTAGTCATTCATGTGTCTTCTTTGGCAAAAGTTCTATTTGAATAATTTTAACACTGTTATTTTTAAATTTATTTTATTCCTGATTTATAATAATACTTTATATATTAGGGTTACAATTTCTTATCAGATGTATGATTTTAAAATATATCTTTCCTTCTGAATGGGTTGATTGTTATACATTTTTGATGACATACTTTGAAGCACAAATTTTTAATTTTGGTAACATAACTCTTTAATAATTAATTGTTTCCATACTCCACAGGAAACAATTTAGAAATTGCGTTGTCTATACCAGCTATTATCAATTTAGCATTTATTGCTACCATCAATAAAATTGCTATATAACAGGGATATCACCAAGGATACTTAAGATTTTTTTTTTTTTTTTTTTGTTTTTTTTTTTTTGGAGAAAAGCACTGATATCTTTATTGAGACATCCAAACCGTTATTACTAGATTGACAAATCCCTAAAGATCATCCTGGATTCAAAAAATAAACAATGTAAAGAGCATTCCCTGTGTCAAAACTCCAAAATACATCATTCTATTTGATTTTCTCTCTAACAACTTCAATCTGCGCCCGTACTGCTGCTCTGTTGGCTATATGACTTGGAGCCTGGCCTGTAGGATCCAGTCCTGGGGGGGGTAACTAGGGGAGGCTGGTCCATAAGCTGCTTTTGACCATAGCTTACCTGCTGTCCATACTGCTCGGTTGCCCATAGTGTTCTGCTGAGAGTAACTGCTGACATAACATTGTCGGCTGTTGAAAGATATTGTAGGAGGGAGGTGAGGTGCGGTGACTGCTGCATGGGTTACCCCCAGGTACCCCTGGGATAATGTAGTTACTGGCCGATCCCCTAGGCTGGGCTTGGTGTATCCCCCTGTTGTAACGAGGCTGACTATCTCAGCAGCTGTTTACAGTCTGAGGTCCTTGTAGTGCCGGTACTGTCCGGCTGCTTGCCCAAAGTGGTAAGGCAGGCTGAGTGCCATAGCAGACGACTGCATAAGGGCTGGTGGTGTACTGTACAGTGGTGGTATCATAGCACCATGGCAGACCCTGGACAGGCTGCTGTACCATGGGCAGTTGGGTAGTTACGTGGGAAGGCTGTCCACAGAAGTCGCATAGGCGGTCTGCCCATAGGTGATGTCTGACTGTATTAGCCTGACATCAGTGGCTGCCCGTTAGGTTCCATAGCTTTGCTGCCCCATATGCCTGGGTGCGTGCTGTGCAGTATCCTTGAGTGGGCTGGCGGTGTAAGCCGCTGTAGCCCTGCTGGCTGCAGCTGCTGTAGGTACTCTAATCCGTGGACGCCATTTTCTATCCTTCCTCCTCGTTCTCTCAACGTCCGTCTCCCTCTCGCTTACCCTCTCTTGAAAGATATTTTGTCAAGGAAAAATAGTAGAACAATAAATGATAAAAATACTTTAGAGAAGGCAGGAGAAAACTAGAAAATAAACATAAAACAGGTTGGAAAACCATAACAGAAAATACAGAATGAGATTTTAGATATAAATCTATATATACCAGTACTTATATGAAATCTAAACAAAGAAAAGACAAAATAATGATTAAAGATATAAAGCATTTGAGGAACACAATTCAAAAATGTACCTATTCACATAGGATATATGTATAGATATTTTTATATAGCACATGCATTTATAACATGTATATACTTGTACACATGTGTGTGCTTCTGTGTATAAACTAGAAATATACATTTGTCAAGAGTATACAGAATAGTTACCTGAATTGAGCACATAATGGGTAATAGATCATGACTCAGTACATTTTAAAAGATTGAAAACCATATAGCTATATGGTCTAGCCATATTGTGAATAAGTTAGAAATAATCAAGTAATCTCTTTAAAAGTAATAGTCCATTGGAGACTTCATAATAATTTTTCACATTTGAGCCGTTTACTAATAGTGTGTGCATTTATCTTATGTATTTCATACTTAACAGTTTATTTGAGAAAATATAGAACATATCTTCAAATTCTAAGATCAAATAGCAAAATAAGCACACTAAAAAAGAGAAAATCCTAGCCATGCTACCATGCCACTAAAGGCCTCTCTGAGAGATAACATTTAAGGAGAAGCTTGAAAAGGAGATACAAGCAAACTTTGTATTGTTTCAAAGAGGAATGCCCCAAGAGAGGGAGACAGGGGATGAAAATTGTAAGGGTGCTAACCTAAGAATATATTTTCATCTTAAAGGGTAATAGAAGGACAGTGTCCCTAGAAGACAGTGTGGATGGGGACAGTGTTAGGAGAGGAAGTTCCAGTATTTGATGATGTAGGGTCCTGTAGACCAAAGGAGAGATTTGGTTATATTCTTAATGAGATGGGAAGGCAGATGGAAATCTTAATCAGGCAAAGGGAAAATGAGACATGGGTTTCCAAAATAATCATTCTGAATACTGGGTAGGAAACAGACAGTAGAAGACAGAAGTGTGAAATAGAATCAGAGAGACTGCTTAGGAGGCATTTCACCCACCATGACACAAATCCCTTTTGCAAACATCAAGATGATGTTTCTCAGATTGCATTTCCACTACTTTACTTACAACACTTAGAATGATTCCAAATATTTCCTCTGCTTGAAAGATATTATATTTCCCAACTGAACTTCCATTTTCACTTTTAAACAGATTTCTTAATGATACAATTTCATTTAAAAGCCAAGCATATGACTTATATTAAAATATGGCATAGTAAGATATTCAAATTTTTGTCAATTTTAAGGCATTTCCTTTGAATCACTTGTATGACATTTTTTAAAACCTTTCAAGAATTTGATATGTTTAGCCAATAAACTTAGTTTCAGTGTTAGAATCTTTTATGTTTTTCTTTCCAGGTATAAAGAGAATGCTATGAAATTATCTAGAATTCACCATGATCAGCCAACAAGGCCCCTGGATCGAGCAGTCTTCTGGATCGAGTTTGTCATGCGCCACAAGGGAGCCAAACACCTTCGGGTTGCAGCCCACGACCTCACGTGGTTCCAGTACCACTCTTTGGATGTGCTTGGGTTCCTGCTGGCCTGTGTGGCAACTGCTATATTCATCATCACAAAATTTTGTCTGTTTTTCTGCCGGATGTTTGCTACAGCAGGAAAGAAGAAAAAAAGGGAGTAATTAGATCTAGGCCTGATCGTGCCAGAATAAAGAGGTGTCCCATAGAAGAAGAGAACCCAAGCACTTCGTGGATGGGCCAGGCTTTAGGTGATCTAATGCACCTGTTTCAGAACAAGGAAAAATGAAAATATTGGTATTTTCACTGATCTTTCTTTAGTTAATTTGTTCTATCAGATGGAGATACAAGTCCTTTGTGATGATTTTCCTTGGTTATTGCCTCTTCTCCGGATCTGTCTCACAGCTGGGTTTGTCATCCTAGACCTCAGTTGGTGAAACTTTTCTCATAAATGATTTCTGAATTTGCAGAAGATGGTTTCTCGGATCACCTTCAGGGTGCAATAAATAGCTCCAGACCCAGAGGAGCCATGTCTCCTTCTTGCCCTGTCTGCTATCAGATGTTGTGTACCAGGTGACAGCAAGACCCACGATCCTACTAGTGTCTTAGACACCCAGCGGGGTCAAATCTCTCTTATCAGGTAGCCTCCATTTCACCTTGTCGAGTCATGTTTGTAGTTGTTCCTTATGCCATTTATCACCTGGTCATTTGTGGCATTCTTTATTTCTATAAATCTATTGCCAGAGTTTTACAATTACATAAATAAATGTAAACCTTCCATCTGACACATCACCCCAATTCCATGGGATGTAGGTTGATGACTACGTCACCCCTCCTCCCATAGATACGGAAGGATAAAACGGACAGTGGGGAATACGTAACAGGGAAAGACCTAGAAAAATGTGAAATGTATTGCAAGATGTCTCTTTAAAACCTCCCGCACACTTTTTGAGAATTAAAACCTCCATCTCTGCCCCAGGCCAGTGATCAGGAGGGTCAGTGTCTTTTGTACTTTGTACCACAGGAGATGGCTCAATGGAACCGTCTGGGCAGGGGTCACGAGATTGCCTTTGCTGGAGATAGGACTGATCAGAACCATCAACTGTAGTTAAATAGCAATACCTTAAAGCTGAATACTCTCCCTTTAAAAGCTCTGTATTTCTGCCAATGGACAAGAAGTTGGCATTGTAAGACAAGAGTCTCCATCCTCCTCATTTGCCAGCAAATTAATAAACTTCCCTTCCCTTCTCTTCAGACCCTTGTCTTCATTCTTCTTCTGCAGCCTCCGGGACAAGTACTGAATTTCTGGTAATGCCCATAGTCCCAAGTAATCTGAAAGCATTGGCCAGAGAATCAATTAAGCCTAGGGTTTCAAGTCTGGCTTGGGCAACATAGGGAAACACCAATGTGAAAGATTTTTTAAGAAATAAAATTATAAGAAATAGCTGAAACAATCTTAAAAAAGAAATTGGAAGGTACACTTTCTAATTTCAAAGACAAATGCAAACCTATGATAATCAAGAGAGTATGGTAGTGTATGATACAACAGGAATGCAGATAAACATATAGATCAATGAAATCAGATGAAATCAGTTTGGGAATCCTAATGTATATCCATGCATTCATGCTGTTTGTTTTTCTTTTTTTTTTTGTAGAGGCACAGTTTGGCTCTGTTGCCCAGACTGAAGTGCAGTGACACAAACAAGGCTCACTGGAACCTCCAACTCCTACACTCACGCCATCCTCCCATCTCAGGCTACCAAGTAGATAAGACACCAGATGCATGCCACCATGCCTGGCTAATTTTCTCTTTGTCTGTTTTGTGGAGACATGGTCTTGCAATGTATACCAGTCTGCTAGAAATTCTGAACTCAAGTGATCCTCCTGCCTCTGCCTCCCAATGCTGGGAATATAGGCCTGAGTCACCATGCCCACCCACATTTACGGGTTTTAAGAGAGTGACAAAATTATTTAAAAGAAAAAATAACAGCTTATGTAACAGATGCTGGTTGGAAAACTGATTATCCATATCCAAAAGAATAAAGTTGAACTCCCTACCTTAAATTCTCAAAATAGGTCAAAACATTGTTTAAGGGCTAGAATTATAAAACATAAAAATTAATCTTTGTGACCTAGGATTTGCTATTAGTTTCTTAGAAATGATACCAAAATCAAAAGCAATCTAATTAAAATATGTAAATTTGACTTCATCAAAATAAGCAATTTTAGGCTTCAAAGGACCATCAAGAAAGTGAAAAGAAAACAACCAGAACTGGACAATATATTTGCAAATTAGATGCCTAATGAGGAAGTATTATAAAAATATCTTTTAAAAAATACAACTCAATAATTAGACAAATAAGCAATTCAAAAATGGGCTAAGGATTTGAATAAAAAATTCTGTTAAAAAATATACGACAGCTGAAAAGCACAAGTAAAAATCTCAAGAACATTAGCAAATTATGAGATATCACTTCACTGCCACTGGTTATAATCAAAAGACGCATAACAAAAAGTTCTTGCAAGGATGTGGAGAAATCTAAAGCCTTTATATTGCTGATGGGAATGGAAAATGGCATAGCTATTGAAGCAAAAAGTCCAGTAATTCCTTGAAAGGGTCAACATACAGGTAGCATATGACCCAGTAATTCTAATTCTAGGCATATACCCAAGAGAAATCAAAATATGTCCATACAAAGCCTGTACGTGAATGTTTATAAACTACAATAAACACTATAACAATATTAAGCAAAAATAAATAACATTCATGTTTATTATAACTATTAAGAGAAGAGTCTGTGCTAATAATATATTAATAATTTAGGCTTTTATGAAAGCCAAAAATTGGACACAATCAATGTCCATCAATTGATAAATGATTAAATCACATGTGTATATCCATCTGATACAATACTATTTGATAAAAAAAGGAATGAAGGGTGATGCATGGTGGCCCTTATATGGTGGCCATATATATACCTTATATGGTGGCCCATATAAGGGCCACCATGCATCACCCTTTTAAAATATTATGCTAAGTGAAAAATGCAACTCATGAAGGACCACATAGTAATGATTCCATTTATCAAATTGTATGGAAACTGAAAATTTATAGATACAAAAATTAGATTATCGGTTGCTTAGGGCAGGGGGGATGGACAAACGCAGAGTGTGGACATAAGAGCTAAAGTGCACAGGGATTCTTTTAGGGAGACAAAACTATGCGTTGTAGTGCATGCGCAATTCAATGAACACATTTAGAAAACACTAAATTTTAAACAATAATGGTGAGTCATATGGGATATCCATTACCTATTAACAAAGATTTACTAGAGCAAAACATTGAAACATGATATTCAACAATACTGACTCAGCTACACAATTGCTTTATTTCTACTTCTGTATCAAGGGACTGAACACAAAGGAGCCACTCCCTTGTCAGAATTTTTGACACTATTCTAGAATACATTACATAAAACAGATTACTTTCACATGCGAGGTCATCAAAATTACCTGGATTATAGCACATACAAACATAAAAGGGACATTAAACACACTTGAGTAAATACGAACTCATCTAACTTCGGTATATCCACTTGCCAACCACATGCTCAGATTGTTCAGTTAATGCACTTACTATAAAGTGTAGGAGTTAAATTTTAACTTGATTGATTTGTGCTTGGATATAAGCATGGGAAAGGGCAGGAGAGAACAGCAATTGCACTGCAGCACAATGGCTCTGCTGTGGACTTCAGTTCTTCTGCTGATGCAACTAAGTGGTTACTTTAGCTCTGGGACTTGTGGGAAGGTGCTGGTGTGGCCCACAGAATATAGCCACTGGAGGAATATGAAGACAATCCTGGATGAACTTGTCCAGAGGGGACATGAGGTGACTGTACTGACATCTTCAACATCCATTGTTATTGATCCCAGCAAAACAACTGCTATTAAATTTGAAGTTTATCCTACATCTTTAAGTCAAGAGGACTTTGATGGTTTTTTAATGAAAATGCTCCATAGAGCAATATATGATCTTCCAAAGGACAAATTTTGGTCAGGTGTTTCACAAATGGAAGAAATCATGGCAGGATTTTCGGAAGTTATGAGAAAGCTCTGCAAAGATGCAGTTTTAAACAAGAAACTTATGGCAAAGCTACAAGAATCAAAGTTTGATGTCCTTTTTGCAGATGCCATTGGTTTCTGTGCTGACCTGCTGGCTGAGATACTCAAAACACCCCTTGTGTATAGTCTCAATGTCTCTCCTGGCTACATATTTGAGAAGCATGGTGGAGGACGTTTATTCCCTCCTTCTTATGTACCTGTACTTATGTCAGAATTCAGTGATCAAATGACATTCATGGAGAGGGTAAAAAATATGATATATGTGCTCTATTATGATTTTTGGTTCCAAATATGTGACATGAAGAAGTGGAATCAGTTGTACCTTGAAGTACTAGGTGAGTCATGTTTTTATTTGGTGGTTATTAATTTCTACTTTTCCTTATATCTTAGAAGGCGAGCTTGTATGATATGAAGTCAGAGAGTATATGTTTTGCAAAGGCAATTATAAAATGAAAATATAGATGATCTATCAATCTCACAAATATTATGGAAAGATTACAGGATCAGGTAGATTCTTGCGGCCATAATTTAAACAGGACACTCCATTAAGTCATAAATGTACAAACTAAAGCAGTTAGGATTTTTTAAACAATCTCATATCTACTCTACTATACATTATTTTCATGTCTAATACAAGTTAATAGATATATCAAGAAACATCTTAATGAGGGCAGATGTGTAGATTGAAAAATTAAACGTTTTTATAGCACAACCATCAATGTGGCATTGAAAAATTTGTTTCTCCTTGGGTGCCTTATTTTCCCTATTAAGAAATTGAAATGTTTTTCTATATATCCAGAAGAAATCCTTCACAGTTGAGGGATCAGTCTATCTCAGAAATGGACATCAAAAATTTGAGGTTTCCAACATTTCTATGTTCCTTCTTGAAGGGCTTGAAGATTATCTCTTTTAAGGCCTAAAATCTTACTGATGTGTGAACATCCAAGTTTGTGTTTATATTTTATTAAATTATATAACTACATTAAGAAAAATATGAGCCTAATGAAGGGATAGCAAAAGCTATCCATTTCTATAATATTGGAAATTTTCTAGTTGTTCTTCATAAATATATTTATTATTATGACTATATATATATATATTTTTTTTTTAGGTAGAGTCTCACTCTGTCTCCCGGGCTAGAGTGCCATGGCGTCAGCCTAGCTCACAGCAACTGCAAACTCGTGCCTCAGCCTCCTGAGTAGCTGGGGCTACAGGCACTTGCCACCATGCCCAACTAAGTTTTTCTATTTTTAGTAGAGACGGGCTCTCGCTGTTGCTCAGGCTGGGCTGAACTCCTGAGCTCAAGGGATCCTTCCACCTTGGTCTCCCAGAGTGCTAGATTATAGGTGTGAGCCACCGCATCTGGCCAAATATATTTATTATTAAACTACCAATACTATTAAAAACTTCACATGAACCAAAAGTAATAGTAGGTACTAGGATTTCAACCATATATTCAAAAAACTGTTGATATACTTGGAGAAACAAGGATCATGAGACTAGTTTCATAAATTGTAGAAAGTAAACTGAGTTCTTATTAGAAGGAAATTTTTCTAGGTTTAGTAGGATTAATTGATAGCGTAACTCCAAGATTTGCTTAAATGTGCATTTGTTATTACTTCAGCTTTTAAAAAAATGCATGGGTAATTCAATAGTGGCTTATATTAATGATCATTGATGATTGTAAATATACTGATCTGTTGTAGGGACATATCTCCTCTAAATAGTCTTTTAACACTTTGCTTCCTTTTGGCTACTTTATTCCAACATCTTTCAGGAAACTACTTTTATATTATCATGATGACTCTCTGGTGTCATCTATATTTTCTTTTCTTTCTCCCCTTCAGGCAGACCCACTACATTGTATGAGACAATGAAGAAAGCTGATATGTGGCTTATTCGAACCTATTGGGATTTTGAATTCCTCGCCACTCTTACCAAATTTGAATTCGTTGAGGACTCCATTGCAAACCTGCCAAACCCCTGCCTAAGGTGAACATATTCCTATTTGTTTGGCTTTGTTTATTTATTGTAAGAGTTGAGGCTCTTCACCATTGTTCTAGCTTAAAAGGAACACTGTTCCTCACCAATGTAAAGGTGTCCCCAAAATGTTGACAACAAAACTTAATGTTTACTTGTTTCACTCCAGCATTGAGATCATTCCTCACTGAGATCCCAGAGTTTTACCTCTTAGAGCACAAAAAGGATGGTTTACCTTATCAGAGCAGGTGTTTCCTGCCTTAGGCCAAGTCTGTAGGACACTGCAGTAAAGCTCCCTGGGGAAACTTTTGTCTC